CAGGAGACTGAGGCAAGAGAATGGCATGAACCCGGAAGGCGGAGCTTGCAGTGAGCCAAGTTCGCGCCACTGCACTCCAGCCTGGGCGACAGAGCGAGACTCGAGACTCTGTCACAAAAAAAAAAAAAAAAAAAAAGGTGAAGTGTATGGTATGTGAATTACATCTCAATAAGGCTGTTTTAAAAAAAATTTAAAAAGTCAGTCTTACAAGCAAGTGTGGACGTTTTCAGAGGTCCCACAGGGCTTACTTACCGCATCCCAAACCACCGCTGCGACTCCCAGGTGTCTCCAGTCCTGCCGGATCTGGATCGTGTGGTTTGCAAAGGAAAAGGTTGCAAGAGGCTTGTGGAATTTCTGCAGCCCCAATTCCGTGGTCTCCTCATAGGGCACCAGGGCCATTCCGCCTGCACCCTGCCCTCTGCTCAGACCTGTCGTGCAAAAGAATCCTGGGTGACGCTCTGGCCAAAAGATACATTATCTCTTAACTAACTCCAAATGCTTTTACGGTTGTTTTACAAGTTCAAAAGAAAAAAAAGAAACAGGTGAAGGAAGCCTTTGTCCAATTTCTTTTGCATGGCTCTTTCGAACCTGAGTGAGATTTGGCTCGGCATTTGTGTCAACGGATGTCTTCGGGGAAGGAAAAAGAAAAAGCCCAGAACATTCCAACTTCCGCAGAATACCCTACACATTGCACTGCTACCACTCCGTGAATTCAGAGCTGCACAGGCGGTGGAACTAGCGGTGACCGCCCAGGGCCCCAGGGCAGCGGAGAAAGCAGCGCTTCCAATCCAGACCCGGGAGTCGGGACTGCAGCTGCAGCCAGCCGGGCGGCCCGGGTTCTTTTGTTACGGTTTCGCCACCCACCTCCTCTCCTCCATCGGCTGCTTCAATAGTGATAACAATGGGACCGAACCTGCCCTTAAACTGGGTGTTAGCGGTTTGATAAGCCAGAAATATACGGTCGCCGCAGTTCCGTCCTCCCGGGACTGGAGCGACACTGGGGGCCTCCGAGTGGCTCACGGGGACAGCAGGAGCTCGGAGGCCTCCCCGAGGTCCCCCTAGAGCTGCCCCCCACTCACCCCTCTCCCGGGCCGACCAGTGCGCCCTTCCTGCCCGCGGGCCCCGGAGCTGCGGCATCCCTTCAGGGGTGAGAGGGAGACCAGGCAAGGCGGGGCACAGGCCCTCTCAGGACCCCCCGGCCATGCGGGGCGCCGTGAGCTTCCCGGCGGAGCGCCCAGGACTCGCCCAGGACTCGCCCAGGCCGGGCGGAGGCGTCGCCATGCCGGTACTTACGGCTCGGGAGGCGGCCCCGAGTGGGGCCCGCGCGCTCAGCTTTCCCCGCCCCGGGCTGGCTGCGGAAACCGCCGCCCTTAAAGAGCCCGCGAGGCGGAGGCGGAGGCTGGCCGCCCCGGCCCGGAGCCACGCGTTTCCGGTCTCCCGGCACCCCGCCCCCTGCAGGTGCCCCCGGAGCCTAGGGCGGAGCCGGGCCGTGGCGCGGAGGAGGAGTGACGTTGCGGGGAGGGGGACCGGGGTTTTCCCGCGTGCATCCCCAAGTACACGGACGACCTAATCCGTTTCCCCGGCCGCCGAGGGAAGTGCTGTGGGGGCAGGAGCGAGAGCGAGACCGGGGTGCCGAGCAGCCGCGGGTGCGCAGGGAGAGCATGGGGTGCCCCGGGCTCTCCCAGCCGGAGGGAAAAGCCACCCACCTGGCGCTGAATGTGCTCCTTACCTTTCTAGCATGTGCTCCGCCGCTCTCTGCCTCTGACTTTCTCGCTTGCGCCTTGTGCCTGTTTTTTAAAGGTGGCGGGTTAGCGGGTGATGAAGAAAGCTACCTCCGAAGAATGCGTGGTCACTCTGGTCCCCGCGTCTCCACTGTGGGGTCCGAAGCGGCGTAATAGCCCGCTTGGCGGCAGTCGAGTGGAAAAGTCACAAAACCCTTCTCAACTAAAGCGCGGTGGGGGAAGTGAACACGTGGCGCCCGAGTGTTAAGTTTTTTAAATGGGTCGGGGGACGCGGCGGGCTCCGGCTGCAGTCGGGAGCGCGGAGCTGCGGGCGCGCGCTCGGTCCCAGCCCCTGCCCCGGGCGGCGCTGCAGACTCCAGTGCCCCAGTCTCCCTCCTCCCGATGCCGAGGCGCACCTACCCGTGACGACCCACGCTGGACGTGGAAGGTGTCTAGGGCCTGGCACCCTGGCCGCAAGCCCTGGCAGAGAGCGCGGCTGAAGTGGGTCCCCTTGAGTGGGACCGCGCGGGGGCCGGCATCCTCCCGAGGCAGGCTTCCTTTTCCTCCAGGGCCCCCTCGCCCCACGTCGCCCGCCGCACTCAGCGCGGCTGCACATTAGAGCGAGCTGGGGTAAACTCCCTTACCCGCGCCCCGGCCCCGAGAGCCGGCCATGGAAGGGGGCCCCGAGCGCTGATTTTTTGTTTGTTTGTTTGTTTGTTTGTTTTTGAGACGGAGTCTCTGTCGCCCAGGCTGGAGTGCAAGGGCGCGATCTCGGCTCACTGCATTCTCCGCCTTCCGGGTTCAAGCGATTCTCCTGCCTCAGTCTCCCGAGTAGCTGGGATAAATGGCCTACGCCAGAAATTTTTGTGGGATTTTTTGTTTGTTTGTTTGTTTGAGACGGAGTCTTGCTCTGTCGCCCAGGCTGGAGTGCAGTGGCGCGATCTCGGCTCACTGAAACCTCCACCTCCCGGGTTCAAGCAGTTCTCCTGCCTCAGCCTCCGAAGTAGCGGGGATTACGGGCGCCCGCCACCACGGCCGGCTAATTGGCTTTTTTTGTATTTTTAGTAGAGACGGGGTTTCACCATGTTGCCCAGACGGGCCTCAAACTTCCGACCTCCAGTGATACGCTCTTCTCGGCCTCCCAAAGTGCTGGGATTACAGGCGTGAGCCACCGCCACCTCCCCAACCCCTACCGCCCGGAGCGCAGATATTTTTAAGAGCTCCCCCGGGGCCCGCGTCTGCTGCCCGCGGTGGGAGCCTGGCGGGGGCCTGAACCTCCCTCTCCCGGCCTCTTCCGTCCTGTAGGCGGCGTCCCCGGCCTCCAGATTAATCTTCCATCGGAAGGCTGGGGACTGCGGCTTCGAGGGTAACAAGGGAACTTGGAAGACCACCAATGAGGGTCTTCACCTCCTTTTTCGTTTTCTTTTTTGGTCCTCTCGCTTTCTCTGTTAGTATTTACTTTCTCTCTTACCTCCTGCGCTTGCCTCTCAGCTTTCACTTTATCTAAGACCTCCCTTTCTTGCCCTTATTTTCTCTCTCTCTGCCCCTTTTTGCAGGGAGAACCAGCATTGGGCACAAGAAAGAATATGTACGGGCTTTGGGGACAGACAAATATGGAAACTGTAAATTCTTCCTCTGACTCTTTAAGTGGGATGACCTTGGGAAATTACTAAACCTCCCTAGACCCCAGGCTGCTCATCCCTGAAGCCTGTCCTGGAACCTTGGGCCGCTTCTGTTTCTTCTTCCTATTCTCCATCCTTTCTGCCGAAATCATGCATATGACCTCAAAAAATAAAGCTAAACCTTCCCCACCTCTCCAGCGCTCTAACATAGAACATGTGCCTCATTATAATTTACTTACGGGTTCTCTAGGAAGCTGTCATTTACCGTCTTGTCCTCCCAATGTTCTAAGTTGTATCAGATGGCTCAGGAAGCACCAAAAGGAATACTGAGGAACTTATGCAACTTATATAGCAGTGTAGCCATTAAGCAGAGCTCTGTTTTTATCAAAATAAGTCAGTGGTCCAGTGTGAATATTTGAAAATAAGTTTTTAATCCTAAAAACAAGTTGGTATGTGGCAGATTATGTATTGTTCAGAATAGTCGGCTGAGTGTGGTGCCTCACACCTCTAATCCTAACTCTTTGGGAGCCAGGGTGGGAGGATCACTTGAGCCCAGTTCAAGATCAGCCTGGCCAACATAGTAAGACCCCATGTCTAAAAAATTTTTTTAAAAAATAGCTGAGCATGGTGGTGCACACCTGTGGTCCCAGCTACTTGGGAGGTTGAGGTGGGAGGATCATGTGAGCCCAGAGGTGGAGGCTTCAATGAGTCCTGAAGTCACACCACTGCACTCTATTCTGGGTGACACAGCAAGACACTGTCTAACTATAAATATAAAAAAAAAAACAAATAATGAAAAACAAAGAAAAAAAAAAGAACACTGACAGTCTTTTTATTTTTTTATTTTTTGACACAGGGTCTTCTCACTCTGTCATCCAGGCTGGAGTCCAGTGGTGCAATCACGGCTCACTGCAGCCTGGACCTCCTGGGTTCAGGCAATCCTCCCATCTCAGCCTCTTAAGTAGCTGGGACTACAGGTGTCCACCACCACACCTGGCTAATTTTATTTTTTGTGTAGAGACAATCTTGACATGATGCCCAGGCTGGACTTGAACTCCTAGCCTCAAGTGATTCCCCCTACCTCCTGCCTCAGCCTCCCAAAGTGCTGGGATTACAGGCATGAGCCACTGAGCCTGGCCTCTCCTGACAGTCTTGTTGGGAATATGCAAAAAGATAGATTTACTTTCTGCATTATTTGTAATTCTGAAGTGCAGTTTAACCGTAATGTAACAGTGTATAAAATAATGCTTTGGCTGGGCGAGGTGGCTGACACATGTAATCCTAGCACTTTAGGAGGCCTAGGCGGACGGATCCCCTGAGGTCAGGCGTTCGAGACCAGCCTCACCAACATGGAGAAACCCCATCTCTACTAAAAGTACAAAATTAGTCGGGTGTGATGGCGCATGCCTGTAATCTCAGCTACTCAGGAGGCTGAGGCAGGAGAATCCCTTGAACCCGGGAGGCAGAGGTTGCAGTGAGCCAAGATCGTGCCATTGCAGTCCAGCCTGGGCAATAAGAGTGAAACTCTGTCTCAAAAAAAAAAAAAAGGTGATTTTTACTTTTATCTGAATGACTGAAATGGACTTTTCCCAATCCTATGACTCCTGACTGCAAAAATAATGGTAGAAGGACACTTAGGCCTTTGTCTCTCCTATCTTCTGGAACTAGTGCATGTCCGAGGTCATAGTAGAAGCAGCCACCTTGCTACTACCTTGGCACAGCTTGATCCCTATGTCCCCCCTAGGCGTGTTCCCTTTTTAGGCCAGGGTGGATACCCAACTCTGCACTGGGTACATAATTCTCTCTGCAGAAGGAGAATGCAGAGTGGCTGTCAGACATCTGTTGTTACTGCCTGCCCAGCATCTGTTTCTCATTTTCCTGGTAGCAGCAGTTCTCTTCTGCTGATGGTCAGGAGCCCAGCTTCTGGAGTTAAGTTCTGCATCAACTCAGCTCTGCAATTTATTAGCTATGAGGGCTTGGGTGAAATGCATTAACCTGTGTCTCAATGTCCCCATCTATAAAATAGGGATAATATGATTATTATATTAGTAAACAACAATATATTATATTAGTAAAAAGATAACCTGAGATTAAAATGAGTTAACTTATCTACTTAGAACTGCGCCCAACAAACATGTTTTGCAGAGCATTTGCTTACACTGTGATGTGTTTGGACTGGGTCTATCCTCAGCCCTCACTACCTGATCAGGCACATGTCCCAGGCCTCGGACATTCCTTCCACCTGGCCACAGGCAGGTGAGACATGAACAGGTAACCAAAGCTGGGCCTAATCAGAGCCCATTCTGAGGCTTGAGACTCAGAGAACCAGCCTGTTGGGGAAGGATAGAAATTTAGAGGTCCTATTGGTCATCTGGTCCCAAGAGAACAAAACTAGCAGCAAATGTGGCCAGCGAAGGAGCTGGTGGGGAAAGAGGCTGCCTCCTGATGATGTTTGACCACCTGGATCCAGCTGTCCTGGAATTTTCAGTTATTTGAGCCATTAAATTCTGTAATTAGCTTAAGCTGTCATTTAAGCAGCCTTTTTTTTTTTTTTTTTTTTTTGGTCTCCTGAAGAAGAAAAACAATCCAGTCTGGGCTGGTCCCTTGAGCAAAGGACAGATATAAAGCCATGCCTGTATGGGCCATCTTCACCGTGCGGTATAGGTGAAGAAACCATTCTACAGAGACACCAGCAGAAACTTGGGACTGAGCTGCCAGTTTCCTGATGCCTCTCTTGTCCTGAGCCCTTGCTGACTGCACCCGGGCTCTCAGGTCCCATGGGAACCCAGGTTAACCTGACAAGACATTTTCCTTTCTTGTTTAAGCTGGCTGGAGTGCCTATGACACGCAACCAGAGTCCCAGTGAAAAGGATGCTTTTTGTTTTTAGGAAGTAATGTAATCAGAATATAAACATTCTATAAGTTCCTCAGACCTGCTTTGATAATGGCTGACTTCCATCCTATTTGCCAGACAACCTGATCCTAACAGATGGCTTGTAT